AGTATAAAACTTTAGTAGATGAGAATTACTGATAGCATTAGTGGGAAAAAAAAACTGTTAATTGCTGTAAAAAGTCAATTATTAATAAACTGTGTGCTGTTTAGGTGATTTGGATGAACAGTTATTGCAGTGGAAGCGCTCAATCGATCAATGGCAAAATGAATATATGGTGGATTGGCAACTCCAATTTGAGCAGTATAAGAAATATCAAAGTTACAGGTATGCCGACTACGATAACTCAGGATATTGTCAGTAGTAGTTGTTTGTAATCGGTCTCAGAATTATCCGATAATAATGCGTCAACATGCTGCTTTTGATTGCTTTCAACTGTCGTCAGTTATTGTATCTCATTTATCGGCTGCTCCTCGACAGCGTCAGTATCAGTGTTGACAGAATTTGTTTTGTTTTTGTTTCTTGTTTTGTTTTTATTTTGTTTTTTCCTTTTTTTTCTCTAGAAAGTTGATTGAGTAGAAATGAAAAGAACAAAAATTTAATGCCACAAAGAAAAGCAGCAAGGTTTGAGGAACCTTTGTCATATTTCTTTGGTAATTTCTAAGCGCTCTTTACAATTTCAATAGGTTATACTATTTTAAATTGAAAAATAGGAATGATTCCTTATAAACACGAAAATGTACCAATTTTTTTTCACTTGAAAAGCGGTCTGATTCACAAAAAAAAGTTTTTTTTCTTCATTTCTTGTAAGACATTTTATGATTTATTGTTTGTCCTTGTAAATGAAAAAAAAAAAGACGAAATGTTAAGAGAAAAAACATAAAGAAAAAGGAAACGAATTAAGCAGAAGAGCAGTGTTCTTTTTTTTATTCTTCACTCCTTATTCCTTCTCAACATCAACTCGCCGTATCATATAAAAAACTTTTCGGACAAACAGATATAATATTGTCGTCTGACTGCCGAACAATTGTTTTGATAAGTTTTGTTTTGTTAAGCAAACAAAAAATAAAAATGAAAACAAAAAATACTGAAAAAAAAAAAGTATAAATGTAGAAAGAAAGGTTCTTAACATAGGAAGTGTCCGTTTCGGCTGTTTGCTGACAACTTGATATGTTCCTACAGTTTACATCTACAGAGATAGAAAATAAAAAAAGAAATTAAGGTGTTAAGAAAAGAAAAAGATTCTTTTTTTTTTT